AAAAATGTTGCATAGTGTGCCTTTAACACAAAATGTGTAGTCCTCTAAGAGACACTGAAAATGTCTCGTTGTTGGGTTTTTTAATAGGATAATAAGCTAAAAAATATGTTCTTATGAATGCAAATGGTCCATTAGACACATAATCAACGTTCTTCTATGGCAATCTCACTCCCTAGAACTTAATCTTTAGAACAGCTTTTGGATGAGAGCCTAACTACCTCTTACTGTCCTACTTAAACATATCATTGTGTTTTCTCATTCGGGTTTATAATTTTAAAAATGTTTAATTAATCATCCTATTGTTTTTGTATATACTCATCTTACTTGAACATGTTGCTTTTATTCTCTTTTATTATTTGTGTTTCCGCTATCTACTTTTTTTTTCTCATGTACGAAACTCTGAATTGTCTTGCCACTGAAATGTACCATATAAATAAATAATAATAATAATTGCACTTGATTGATCACATTGGAGAAAGTTACCTCTGCATTTAACCCATCCCCTTGGGGAGCAGTGGGCTGCCATTGTGCGGCACCCAGGGAGTAGTGTGGGGTTAAGGGTCCTGCTCAGAACGGTTCAAACTCAGAATCTCAGGATTCCAAGCTCTATGCCCTAATCACTCCTTACTCCTCCTCACTTTTTCTTACAAAAGCAAATAAAGGATGCAGGACTCTTCATCAGAGGGATTTTGCAAAGAGGAATGATAAAGATCCCCCTGCTCCAACTTTGGAAAATGCTATCCTTCTGGCATAAAATACACTGTATCAACAGCAAGGATATGAATACTTTTTTATTCTGTTTACAAAACAATAATTCATTATCCACCCTTTCTCAGTGCTGTGTTATGTTACTGCATTAGAAAATTTATTTATTTTAAGCTGTTTTTGCACATCTTTCTCAGGGGTCTGTTTGGTTAATACATGTTTACTACAACTAACAACAGATAGGAATCAGTAACTGTGTTTTAACTCCTCAGATATTAAAAAATATTGCGTTTTTTGTTTCGAAGTCATGTTTACAAGTCTACCCAAAATATTTCCTCTTAGATAAGATTCTTCTTGCCAATTTTTTCTTCCTTTGTAGGGCTGTTTCTACTTTGCCAGCCAAACTGAACTGCTGAGAATGTCAGTAATTACTGCCTTACTTCTTAAATACTAGAAAATCTTAAAGAGCCTGAGTATGTCTAAGGAGCCTTTCAACAGCATGTATACTCCTTGAACCCTTTTGACATTTTTTCAACTTATAATCATAAACTTCTGTGTATTTTACTTGGAATTTAAGTAACAAACACATAAACTGAAAAGAAAAAGATAGATGATTTTCAAAAATTTTTTATCCACAAACATCTAAAAAAAATCCATCCATCCATCCATCCATCCATCCATCCATCCATCCATCCATCCATCCATCCATCCATCCATCCATCCATCCATCCATCCATC